CACGGCGACGATGCTCGAGAAAGCCACCAGCCGCAGCGTGCCAGGGGCAGCCCCACAAGCCGGCGGCCACAAGGACCCTCTGCAGAGGGTCGCGCAAGCCCTGCGCTCGGCGGCACTTACTTCTCTCGCCTCAGCTGCAGCAGCAGGCAGGATAACGCCTCAGGGTGCTCTGCAAAGGAAAGGATATCCTCAGCGCAGGAGCTCGTGGGCGCCGCGGCCCAGCGCCGCCCTTCTCCCGTGGTGGTTGCGGTGGGGACGGGGACAGCTCACCTTTGTATTTGAGGTGCTGCAGGATGGGGATGATGGTCTCCAGAGGAATGCTGTGCGCCAGGAAGAGCTGCCAGGTGCAGTATTGCTCAAAGGTCTCCCAGTCCAGGCTTTGAACTAAAGGGGAAAGCACAGGATGGTGAGGGGAGCCGGCACGGCAGCCTGGAGGAAGGGCAGGGACGTGCCAGCGCCACCGCAGACAGCTCGGCCGCAGCTCCTCTGCCAAGTCCGGCTGCACCCAGGGACAGCGTTGCTCCTGCCCGGTGTTACACCCACCCCTCCAGCCCGGAGTAGGGCACTGGAGAAGGGCACAGAGCCCCAAAACCCGCTGCGTGTCGGGGTTCGCACCACACCATGAGCAGCACAGGCAGTCGCGTGCGTGCCGAGGCCGAGAAGGGGCTCCGGGAGCCGGGGAAGGCTCTGCCAGCGGAGGTACGGGTGGCAGAGCTGCAAAGTCACTAAAGCAGCTGCTCGGGGCTCAGAGGAAGAGAATTAACGAGGCTCTTTAATTAATGGGCTTAGCCCGCTGCTTGCGGCTTGTGTAACGCCAAAGCTGGATCTAAGCAGCCATGGGATGAGGGCGACGGGGTTTCTCTCCGGAAGCACTTGCTGCGCCCCCGGTGCACCGAGCTCACCGCGGTGGCTCTGCCCAAAACGGCTCCCTCCGGCTCCCGCCGCCGGGCAGGAGCCACAGGGCACACGTGGGCAAACCGCAGCGTCGGCTGGAGACCGGAAGGGCTCTCCCGCCGCCCCAGAGTCAGCGGCGCGCACAGATGCAAGCCGAAGTCCAGTTAAAAAGCGACAAGGGGAACTGGGTGAGCCACGGGTGATGCTGGGAGGAATGCCACGAGGGAGAGGTGACGGGCACCCACGCAGCGGCTACAGGAACCGCGGTCCTGGCAAAGGGCCGGGAGCTTACTGCGGTAATTCAGGGTGGTCCAAGGGTCAGACTAAACAGCAGCGAGGCCCTTTTTGCTCTCGGGATGTCACAGTCCACAGAAAACGAAGGGAATTCCCAATTCCAACCTTTCTGACTGCCTTTTTGCCATCCCCTCCCAGCTGCCCTCACCCCTGCCGTGCCGGGAGAAGAGGTTACGGCCGTCCCCAGAAAGGTGGCCGCATCACGACTGCGCAGCACTGGCCACGGGTTTGCGCCGGGACAAGTTCACATCCCCAAAAGACGCAGCAGCTGGGACCACGTGGAGAAGTTGCAGAGCTGCGGGAGATTTCAGGACTTTTCTCTTTCTCGCTTAGTTTTTTTTTTCCTCTGCCCGGCCACGCTGCGGATGTGCGGAGCACCGGATTACTCTTTGCCTGGCACCGCGGAGGGCCAGCGCTCCAAAACCAGCCTGGTAAAATCCATCCGAGCGCACAGCTTGGATCACACAGCTCAAATCTTAACAATCCGGTTTAGGGCAGTGATCCTTTAAGCAGCGGCAATAACACCAGAAGGAAATCCAGACCTCGGCGTAACACGGCCGGCCCAAAAGCCTCTCTCGGATGCCGGGTAAGCCGCCAGCTCCTGCGGGGCTCTTCCTACGACAGGAAGTTCCATCTCAACAGGAGGAAAAGCTTCTTTACTTTGAGGGTGACAGAGCACTGGAACAGGCTGCCCAAAGAGGTTGTGGAGTTGCCTCTCTGGAGATATTCAAAACCTGCCTGGATGAATTCCTGTCCAACTTGATCCAGCGCTCTGCTTTCACTCCCGCCCTCCCCTGAGATGCGCTCGCGCCTGCAGCAGCGCTACTCACTCAGGATGTTCAGCACCGAGTCTTTCCGAAACATGACGAGGTTCCCCATCATCACGTGGCACACCAGCTCCTGCAACTGGGTGGTAAAGAAAATGGGGTTAGCGGCACGCTCGGGTTCTGCGGAAGCTCTCTTTACGCTGGGGACCACCAGGCAGGTCCGGAGAGCAAGCAGGGAAGCCGCTGCTCTGCCGACATCAGCCATCTCCGCAGGGATCCAGCGGGGAGTCCCGGAACCCCCGTGGGCTGCAGGTGGCTCATAAATCAGCGCCGGGTTAAGCAGCTCCGGGGAGAGGCAGCTGTTGCGACGGCCCAGAAGAGGCGAAGTAGTAATGAGAGGTTAATGGTTTCACACATCAACACCCAGACCGGGGAGCAAGTGTCACGCGGGACAGAGAGCAGATCCCCGCAGGCTGCGGCCAGGGCGGGTGGGACGCTGTCGCCCTGTTCGGAGAGCTCAGCAGCCACGTAAGCGCCGGGGACCCGCTCCTCGGGCTCCAGGAGCTCTCAGACGTAGGTTTTTTTGCCCGATGGATGCGCAAAGCCCACCCAGGGACGAGCAGCGGGGAGGGCTGGGCAGCCTGCTGGGAAAGCTCCGCCAACCCCAGACCTCTCTGCTCGGGGGCCCTGGAGCATCCCCGGTCTGCAGGAGAGGAGCTGACACTACCCAGACGCGTAGCGTTTCCTGCACTGACTCACCCCCTTCATCCCCGGGTGAGGTGGAAGCGGAGGCAGAGGGATGGGAAGCACGGGGAGAGCCCGCCTGGGCTGCACCGGAGTTGGGGAACACCGTTCCTCGCTCCTGCGCTGACGGGCTCAGCTACAGAGCGCATTTTGGGTCTCGTCTACCTTCTCCTCGGCCTCTGGGTAGAGCCTGCTCGGGGTGCTGGAGGCACGGGGAGCCCCACGGCACGCCGACCTG